AATAATACTATATAATATACCCTAGTCCCAGAGGTTTTCTTTTCTCTTTTATAGATGTTTTTTATGGTATTTTTGTCTTTGTTTTTTTTTTTAATTTAACGACAGTTAAATTAAAAAATAAGACAAATAAAAAACATCTATAATTAAAGAAGAGAAAAGAAAACCTCTGGGACCAGGGTATATATAATATAATTATATTTGTGTAAAATTTGATCTGGGGACCATTTGTAATTATTATTATTATTTAAATTATTAACATAATTATGTTATATAGTTCTTTTAAAATCAGAAAATTGTTAAAATGATGATAAAATATCATCAGGTAACTGCACCCAGTTATCGCGTTACTCAAATATATTAGGTCACTGTCTCAGTGTCAAGCCAAGAGAATTATTTTTGTAGAGTTTACCATTTTAATCTTTCATTTATTCCTCACGATCATTAAGATGAGAAAATTAACATTGATTAATCATGGACTGAGTCAACTAATTACAGTCACCTGACATTTGATTGCAGGCACATGCACATTTACTGGTGATGTGCTCAAATGGATAGTGCAAAAAACATAATTGATCMAAGAAAGTGAGACCTGCATKATGATGCATTGGGAAATGGAAGCAAAATCTCTTACCTTGAGTTGAGTTGTTGTCAAGGATTTCAAATCCGTTCSTGTCAGTAATCACCAAGTTTTCTTCCAAGTTTAAGTACTCCTTGGTGAGACTTGCTAGTKTTTGGACATTTGCCTCTTCTCGTTTTAYCTTGAGATATGCTGTCGCAAGTGTAATTGGTTGAATMTTTTCACTACCGGAAATAAAGCATGAAATTAGCATAACAATAGATATCCCATAATGCCTTGCAGTGCATAAATAAGCGTGATCTGCACGCTCTGTTCATTCCGATTCAAACCACGGACACATACTGGTTTAATTCGCCCACCCACCCTACCCACGACATGGCGTGTGGAACCTACAACACTCATGGATATACCGCTGTCCGCTTTGTTTGCCAGCAGTCTTTTCAGACCTGTCCATATCTCATTGTATATTCATGTTTATTGTAGGTAGTGATAATATTGTACTATGTAAATTAAAAAAAGTACCACATATATATTTCCAATCTATTTCCAAACTAAAATTATTTGTAAATCAATTCCATACTATGGAAATAGTTTGGAACATTCAATTTACATAGTATGTAAATTGATTTTTACAAATTATTTACATACTATGGAAATTGATTTTTACAAATTATTTACATACTATGGAAGTCGTTTGATTTTTCCAGTGGCTGCTGCGTCTGACACAAGCAGACTGCAGACTTGCAGACTGCAGACCGTAATTTATTTGTATCTCCATGTATATATGTATCTATCCTGATTTACGTCAATACACTAATTTACTTTAATACAATGGAGTTTAAAATTAATATTTTGTCGTCCATCGACCTAATTAACATAATAATCTGACCCTTCATATATACTATAGCAAAGTCAGTTCAGCTTTCGACCATGTTCGAATATAGTCTGGGTCTTTCTAGTTTAATTCTCCCAAGCTGCCTGATATCTAATTGGACTAATTTAATTAACATTTTAAGGTTAATTTCAAGCTGAAATTTATTCTATAACCAAATTATCTCAAGGCTTAATATATTATGAGAATCTTTCTTGAAACAAGCTCAAAGAATATACCTCATAAATTACTCATTTCAAGAAACAGTCTTGAAATAAGTTATAATTGCAAAATGCTCATTCTTATTTTAAGATCATATATTGAAATAGGAATATGTCAATTCTTATTTCAAGATAAACGTCTTGAAATAAGAATTTGTCAAACTCTTAATTTAAGAAAAAATTCTTAAAATAAGAATTTTAGAAAGTTCAACTTAAAGAGTGTAAGTCGAGATCTCGCATTATAAGTCGAGATCGTCGGTTAGTAAGTCGAGATCTCGCATTATAAGTCGAGATCTCGCATTATAAATCGAGATCTTGGATTAGTAAGTCGAGATTTCGCATTATGAGTCGAGATCTTGCATTATAAGTCGAGATCTCGGGTCGAAAAAGTCGAAAAAAATATTCTGACGGACGTCATTTAAAAAATTAATCACTACAATAAAAAAATTCAACAGGCCATAAAGAAAAAATTCACCACTGATACACAAAAACACCATGRCCCTAACCGGCCACCGTACCTAAGAGCAACTGAAAAGGTGTAATTTATTGGTTGATAACATCTCAATTAATTCTGTATTCATTACATCACAACCTTTAAAGCGCGCGATTTTAAAAAATAATAAAAAAATCTCCTCAAGTTTCGCCCAAGTAAATATTATGGTATGTCAAAGCCTTACCAAACTCTTTTACATCTCTCACCCTTTCCTTAAGCTGTTTTGCAAGATTTCTTTTGCATTTGCACCGTTTTTCTTGTGTGATCTTTTATGGTTAGTCCCAAGTTAAGACTCTGATCTCTTGCTTTCTCTGTGTACCTTTTGATAACCCAGCTATTKTGGCGGAAATCCGGGTGATAGGTGGTTGCTTTGGTTGCTTGCCTGAATGCACCTTTTCCACACACAGAGACTTCCATAAATTCAACTATTTGTGGAACTTGGCACCATGTTTTAGTGTTGATGTCGAAAGAGTACACTTTAACAACGGTAGTCGATCTACCCGGCTGACCAGTTTACCTAGTTTAAG